CACCACCACCTCCGCCCCTGCCACCCCTGCCACCCCTGCCCCCTGCCACCCTAGCTAGTCACTCTTTCTCTTGTTGTCAGTTCTTGTTCCCACTAGTTTACTTCTATTATTGTACGGTTCTTGGTTCAGCAAAAGCACCATCCTTTTCACCTGGGTCCCTCTTTCGATGGCGGTCGGACTCTTGTGTCCTGGGTTCTTGTTTGCAGCGGTTTGCTCTGTCTCATGCAGTCTCAGTTTTGTATCCTGGTTCTTGCTTGTACCGGTTGGCTTGGTTGGCTCCGTTTCACGCGGTCGGACTGCTGTGTGTGCCCCGCTTTGCGTTGTAGATTCTGCACAGCCGATTCTGCACAGCCTTGCACATTACTGTATCTTGTGGTGAAACAGGTGGGGCCAGTCAGTCATCTGCCAGCAGAAACATGTGATTCACGTTTGGCCGCCTGAGCGTTGCTGGAGCTAGCTTCGGATTGCTTCAATTGCTTCACATTGCGTTTTGCAGTACAAGTAGGAACTTTGGCCGTAGCTGGCACATGATACCTTCCCGCCTAGCTTCTGCAGTTATCACTTTTCCCTGCTAAGGTACGAGGTAACTTTTGCAGGTAATTGGACCACACGGACCCGTCGCGCCCACAGTTCTCGTCCAACTGGCACTGGCAAGTGTGGAAGAATTTTCACCTTGGATCTGATGAGCAGAGGGACTTTGGCTGCCTCTCGTGAGCTGTACGAAGTGTCGGGAGGGCACTCAGCCCAGGTCCGGTGTTGGAAGATGTCGATCACTCCTATGCCGTTTTCTTTGTCATTTATGTCACGCTGATTGTTTTTGCCGCGGCCCGGCCTTGACAGAACACGGATTTTGAATCTCACGCTTGCAAGGGCTCAGCTAGCCTAAACTTGTAAGGTGCTTCGTGTCATCACGGCCGTTTTCCTCCGCGAAACTCTGGAAGCCGCGAATAACGATGCAGAGCTCATGGTTATGGAGCGGTTGCGGCAGAAGGGCAAATACATCAAACGGCTCGAAGGTGTTAGGGCGAAGTTTTTATGACAGTGGTTAATGTGTTAATCGTAAGCCCTCTGCTCTGAGCTGCGACAGGCATCTTTCGGGCAATGGATGAAAGCGGGGATGGTGTGCTCTCAGAAGCAGAAATGCACGGTGACTGCATTATGGTCTCACCCCCATGCATTGCAGGGGTGAGGAACGGTAAAGGCTCCTGGCGCACTCTGCCAGCCGGTCGGTGCTAGGATCATCAGAAAGGGGAGCCCTTACCGAAGGACATGTAAAACCATGTTTCCTGCCTCGGACTCTCCGGGCTCCCGAGGTCGGTCGTCTTGGCAGATGCGAAGGTCCAGGCCTACTTGGCCAGCCTGGATTTGGACTTGAACGAGGGCCAGGCCTTATACCGCTTGCTGCAGAACGGTGCCTTGATGCAAGAGTCTAAGAGAGTCGAAGGGGGTCTAAGGGAGCCCAGGAGTGTGCTCCACCTTTTGGATACTTGGCTGAGTGTTGTCAATTTTGCTTTCTTCAGCTAGTTCTGCTAGTTCAGCGGCCAGTCGAGTCGGTCGCTTCGGGGTCATGTCAGGCTGACCGGATCTGACCGGTGTCACGCATTGTTGGAAGCGATACAAGGCATGCATAGCAGATACACTCACAGTCAACGTGACCTACTGGCTTCAGTCTCAGGGCTCCTATTCGAAGCTGGCTTATTTTTCTCGTGCGTTGCCCAAAAAAGACTAGTGATGTGCGGCGGTGGGGCCTGTTTCACGAAGACAGCGTGCCAGTAATCTTGTGCATCATTCAACTTTGTTGTCGGTGATGCGAAGCTGGCAAAGTTCGCGGAAAATTCGGGATCGCGTGGTGGGACTTGAAAAAAAAGCAGCGAAGGAGATGGGAAGGGGAAAGGGAAAAGGGGAACAGCTGCTGGTCGATCCTCGGTCTGGGGTTCCCCCCTTGCCGTAAAGGAGTGTCTCTCCCAGAGTCTTGTTGTGCGCATGCCAGTGTGGCTGCCCCTCACTTACATGGACGTCCATTGTAGGGTTGATGTCGTTTCTGAATTTCGATTGGTTCGGGTATGCAAGCTTGAGGGTGAAATCGGAAACAGCACGTGCCAGTACTTCCCGTTTGTTGAGAGGGAATACAAGCAGCACGTGCGCATCATCAGCGAACCTAGCAACACGGAATCATGTCAGGGAACCGTTGTAGGAGCTGTACCGGAAAGAAAGCATCAGCTTGATCTCATGCCTCAGCAGAACCACCCTAACGATATATTCTCCGGCTCCGCTTCCCATCATACCCCTGCTGGTTTCAAACTCTTAGCTTGATCAAAGACAAACTGCAGGTTGTCAGACGGATACTACCACCCACGACTTGTCTGTTTGGACCACGAAGCGAACTTGTTGGGTCCAAGCATTCCGGAGTTGACACACACGGGTTAACCCATGCCTTTGTAACGCTCATCAGGAAGGTCTCATCAGCAAGACCCAGTGTGCAGACCTACCGCAAAGTTGAACTGGAAAAGGTGGTTTGCCGTTCTCTGATGTTATGCCCTGGCTTGTTTTACCGGCCGGCAAAGGTTAAATTCTTGAACTTGATACGGTGTCTTAGCATCTGCCACAGCCTCTTGAGGCCAAGACATCCCAGGGACAGCTTCAAGGTTAGTGCGGAATGTTGGCTCTTGGCCCGCTTGGGTGCAGGTTGAGCTGCAAACTTAACCCACGCCGTGAGCCAACGCATCTGACGCATCCAATGACAAATTCAATTTCCAGCGAATCTCAACAGTAAATTGAGGCTATGGCTATGGGTTTCGAGCGATCGAAGGTCGTTTCCGAACGTGGAATTTCGAAGACGGCCCCAAACAGAACCGTCCACAGTGACTCAACAAACCCGTGCGACGGTAGAGCGCCGGGTGCCTATGCCATAGGGCAACAATGGCTTGATTGCTAATCCTTCATCCATGCATGCAGCAGGCTCTGCTCTACTTCGCCCCCGTGAAGCCATGACTCCTTCTCTAGTTTGGTGAGAGATGTTGCAGCTTTAAACAACAACGAAGGATAAATAACCGTCAGGTGAAGGACAGGTTACCTACGAAGACTTCATCGACGGCATTCTACGTTGCAAGGGTCCTGCACGTGCAATTGACCAGATGCTTGGCTGAACCATGCGGGGCGATCGAAGGAGAGCTTCGCTCGGCGACAGCTGTGTCTAGATTTTTCAACGCTCGCCCGCCGTACCTGCCGTACCTCAGGATATGCTTGCAATGCGACGTGAAGTTGCTATCTGACGCTGTGATGTACCCTGGCATTGCACCATTGCTGTCACTGATCTTGATTCAGTGCATCAGCTGGTTTGGATGCGAGGCACTTGACGAAAGCCTTGGAGGATTCGAAGGTGATAAAGAAGCAGCGAAACCATGGCAAACACCGAAGAAGCAAGCACCGTGTGGAGGTTGCCTGGTTGCATTATTGAATCATTGAGCTGAGACAGGGCCGGGGGTGTTTGAGCTGCTCGCATCTGCAAATGTGGGAATTGGTCTGAGGACGAAGTTGTGCTCCTTGGATTCAGTTGAGGATGCTCGGAAATGGGATTTGGACAGACTTCTTGGACAGCATAGCAGGAGCAGAAATCTGCTGGTCGTAAAGCAGCGAGATGACGTAATGCAAATTACGAGGTTGATTTCCGATCAAGCCGGGGCTTGCAAGTATGCAGTGGACATACTGTGCTTCTCTGCGTTGTGTGCTTGGAAAGGCTTCTTCGGGCCGCAACCAGGGTGATGTGATGCTGACTTCCTGAAGCCACCAGCAATCGTTCATTGGACATCCGAGTACAGCGTGCCATGACCAAAGCTACAGAAGTACTGAACACAATCTTGTGGCCAAAAGGAATCGGAGATCTATCAATGCCGGGTTGACACCCCCTTGTCACATGTGTTTAACTGACCTCCTCGTGAGTTTGGGCAACTTTGCCAGGCAGGTGCCAGAACCCAAGCTCCATCCAAGCACAAACGGCATTTGGATGAAAAAGCCTTTTCTGCGTGCGGAGATCATGTGCTGGCAAGAATTCGGGGCTTGAGGGAAGTCTTCAGGAAGGTCTGGCGCCCATGCTGTTCTGGCACCATGGCCATGTTGCCCACACTTATCTTCATGCGAGCTCTGGAGAATCCAGGCTCGAATGCGTGACTGCACGGCAGCTGAATCTAGCTTATCCCGGTTTTCCGCGCGCACGCGAGACAACCTCCTGGCTTGTAATGCCTGGGCAGCTTCGACGGAAGGCTATTTTCCATAAGGGTGGCTCCTTCCTGTCGATTAGTGACGCAAAAAGTTGCAAGCTTGAGTGGCTCGCACATGGCATTTTGAGTCCGCTGCAATTGCGGCCTAAAGTGTTTCCGCGAGTCTTGCTTGTTCCAGGCTGTCCCGACAGAAGCGGCGCCCGAACCTGCACCGACCGAAACCACCAAAAGCGGACATGTTGACACAGCTTCGCCTCAAGGCGCGATCTGGTAAAGCAGTGTAACGGAAGCGCAAACTAGCCGAGAATCGGGGCACATCCTTGCCAGGTGTGGAGCCGGCAACGCAAGAGGTGCAAAAGGAAGCGAAAACCGTGGATCTGCCGAGTCCTGGCTGCGATTTGCACAGGCGCTTTTTTGGGGCTGCAAGTAGGTGCCTGTCTCTCAGGAGTCCGCGTCAGGAGCAGGAGGCATGGCCTTGCCTGCGGGGTTCAAGTTCAGATCCAGTAAGATGGCTGCAGGAGCCCTGCTCAGAGCCGGAGTCGGAGGAGCCCTCGGAGTCCTCAGAGTCAGAGGGAGCTGACAAGGCTGGGCGAAGCGAAGACACTCCCTGATGGGGGGCTCCCGTGTGTTTGCAGGAGGCTTCAGCTCCTCGTGTTTCGCAGGGGGAGCCCCTGGAGGTCGCGTGCGCTCGAGATGTTTTGCGCTTTTTTGCCTCTGAGAAGGACTTGAAGGCTTTGGATGCCGAAGCGCCGACTTCAGAGGGCTAGGGCTAGGGCGGAAAAAGCCTGAGACACCTTTTGGACTTAGGCAGTCGTCAAGGCCATTCCTGTGGAAAGCGTTTCTAGGCAGGCTGAGCTTCTTGGCGGTCTTAGGCAGAGAGAGCTCGAGTGGGTTACAGATGCGGCAAGCACCAAGGCACGCATTGGACGGAGCACAGATGTGCATGAAAGTGGCACGACTGGCTTCAGAGGCTGATCGTGGTTGGCTTATTGCGTGCTCTGATCTCAAGGACTCAAGGTATCGAAAACTTGGTGACTGTAGCAGGCCACAGGAACTTGCCGCTCTTGGTCGCAGCTCTTGCGGCTACTGGTCGGCACTCGTTTCGGTGGACCATGTGTGGCTGTAGATGCACAACAGCACCTGTTTGTAGGTGCGGCACGCATCTGCTGGACAGTGACCTTCTGGCACTAGCACTGGAGATAAATTCCGTCGAAGCTCACCCAGCCGCAGGCACCCACTGTGTCACGCAGGCATCCCAGAGTGTGTCAAGGCCGGGCTTCTCGTAGCTCGGATTCGTGTTCTTACTTTGCAATCTGAAAAGACCAGGTGTGCGGTCGGTGTCCCATCGGATCTTATCCCGCTACTGGAGAAGATCAAGACAGCAGAGGGCATGACTAGGCAGGTCTACTGCACAGGGAATTCTTTCGGGCCCTTGCCGCTTTGGTGCCATCTTTCGCTGCAGGCAGGCGGTGAGCGCCACGCGGGATTTGATGCAGTGCACGGAGATAATCTCAGAGAGAGGCCTGGCCTATGGTGACCTCAGTGAATATGACTGCGTGCCTGCTGCTGCCTGCTGTGCTAAGAAATCGGCTTCCACTTCTTGCACCAAGTTCTTCACTTCGCTTCGACCTGTCCTCAGGCTTGAGGGCCACGGAGCTTTCCAACAGGCAAGGCAGTGGCGTTTAAGCGCCATGTCAGTGGTGTGCGTGTGCGCGTTCGTGGGGCCGGGGGGCCGGGCTGAGGTTGCTGCAGCAATCCAAGGAGTTGGCCAGCACGCTGCAGTCGGCTGGAGCTCTCGGAACTCTTTGGTGAACTCTTTGGCGAACTCGTGAGCTCGTGAAACACTGCGTTTGTAGTGTTGTGACTGTACTGCGCCACTCGCAGCCTGGCTCCTGGCTCAAGCTCCGTAGGTGAGACCAGCTGCACAGCCGCGTGAGGCAACTCTGCATCATTTCCTCGGGAATTGACCCAGTCCTACCCGTTTGGCATTCTGTTCATACAATGGACGGAGAGTTTTGCAAGTTCAAGCTTTACCTGAATTGCTTGGCCCTCGGCTGCAGCCAAGGTTGGTGCCTTCTCTCATGGCAGAGGTTGAGAAGGACAGTGCTTGGGACCAGGGCAAGCAGCCACCAAATCAAATGTCATCAGACATGGTGGCATGGTCTGGATGGGACACATCCAGCAACATACAGAAATGCCGAATGCAGTCGTGCAGCAGACGTTCCGATAAGCATGCGCAAAGATGCGCAAAGCTGTTTTTCAGGCGGACTTCATTACGCCGGACGTGTCCACCTCTCAAGTTCGACCTGAAGTGCCAGGCTCTGCTCGGAGTCGTTTTGTGCCGTGTAGTTACCCAGCCTCACTGTCCCTACCTTTCGTCTCCTCCGCTGCTGGTTGAAGCTTTGATTTGGCCAAATGCGCAACAGTGCCGCCTGTACCGTTACAGGCAACGAAAGAGAAAGTGACGTGAACAAGCTGGATGATGTGGCTCGGTCTGCACCTGGCAACTCAGAAGGACGCTCGGTAGCCGGATGCCATCTGTCGGCATCTGTCCGGGCATCATGTTCTTGCATTCCCGGCAATGGTCACAATAGGCCCATGCCGCAAGCAAGCGCACGGATTTCAAAACAATCCAGCGTGAGCACGTAATGCGGCATCCTACCACAACGTCTGAATCGACGCTGCCCCTCATCAGCGCACTGAGCATGCAGCCTCTCGTAGCCCGAAGAAGACGGCCTCAAGGCCGGGAAGACTCGTAGCCGCTGTATCGCCTCAAAGCCTCGAGAGCAGAGGCGTCGCCGAACATTTCCCCAGCCAGACCCTGACCAGTCTCCAGCAGTCGGAGTTTTGTCATGGCTCTCTGTCGGCCACACATAGGACATAGGCAGCAGGCCGCTCGTTGCCAGAAGGCCTAGTGACTTGTGACTTGTCCCTGTTGACAAACCGCCACGATGTACCCCTCGGCAGTCTGTTCTGATACAATCAGACTACATCAGTCTGCTTGAAAGATACATAAAATGGGAGACGAAAGGTCCGATTGGGGCCTGCCCAAGGTTATGGAAGACGGTTGTCAAGGACCAGCCATTCGCAGCCGCACTGCAATGCTGCCAGCTCCGTCTGAGGAGGAGGAGGACATGACAGGCCGGACACCTTCGCCTGCACATGATAGCTCACGAGAGCGTGTGTCGGGTTCACCGGTTTCTGTTGGAGCTTCGCGACCCGTTCATGCGGCCACCGTGCGATGAGGTAGCAGCAGCCTCAAGCCATCCAGAACGGCCATGCTAGTTGCACCCTATGATGCCCCGGACTCAGATTCAAAGCCGGAGTCCAACCCAAAGCCTTGCCCAAAACCGAGTTCACGATGTGATTTCTGAATTGGCTGAGGACAAGGAAGTAGAACACGCGGTGCGTTCGCGGACGGCCATGCTGCCAGGCCAGGTCGGCTCGCTAAGCCAGAGGCCCCCTGAACAAGAATCATTGAGACGCGATGCGCTGCTGTGCCACTACGTCACTACCTCACTCAAGACCGCTCAGCAAGGTGCGGTAGTGAAGGATTCCCGTTTCGATGTCGTGCTGCAGGAGTGGAGGATGACAACGACGAGGCTGCTTCCGAAATGGCATGATGCCGAATGATGATGATGATGATCTTGATGATGATTGAAGATTGATTAGGTCGCCTTGCTAGAGCGGCGCAGTGACGCCGAGAGCTGAGGCTGACCACGCTCTGCGCTCCCGCACGGCTATGTGGCCTGTTGACCCTAAAGAGGAAGAAGGCTCAGCATCCTGTTTGTCAGCGCGGAGCGTGCGCTTGTTGACTGTCCTCTGTAGCATGACTTTGGCCCCAGGTTCTGCACACTAGCTTTTAGCCACCTGTTACTGTGCTGAACCGCCTTGCAACCTTTTTGACCGTGCCAGAAGCTGAAGGGCAGTTGGGCGATTATTATGTTTTTTCAAGTCTGGTTGACTGCGGGCCCGGAGTGTTTGTGGAGATGTTCCGATTTGAGTCGAACACTTCCCGCGTAGTCTCCTGGTTGGCCCTGAACAGGCAGACAGGCACGACCGTCCAGAACTGCCATGTTGCCCGAAGATGATGTGCTCGGAGCCCAGTTCTTCCCGTCTGCCGTCTTCTGCACGGAGAAGTGCTTGCTTTCCGAGGCCCGGACCAGAGTCCAGCACTGAAAGCTCCCGTTTTCGTAGACCCCAGTCTGCACTCTGATCTTCGTGGGTGTTCTCTGTTGATCTTCGCAGTGCACTACAACTGCTTGGTAGTGCCGAGGACTGATGAATGTTTTCAAAAGAGACTCGAGCAGGGATGTGTGATCTTGCCGCCTGGATTGGAAGTGCTGTGGCGGGTAGTTGTCATTGCCGAAACTCCCCACGGAAAGCATGGACCATGGAAGTTCATGACCGGATCTCCGGGTCCGGTCGCCGGAGATGCCAGAGTGTCGCGACACTACCCCGCTGAAACCTCCTCGGACTGTCATGGTCAAAAACTCGAGAGGCTACTACGCTGCGTGAAGGAATCTTGCATTTTGTTGCAGCTCTGCCTGAAACTAGAACGGGGCACTCTGTAGGTTCATGAACAATCGTTCAACGGGTGCCTCTTCTGGCGACGACCGGTTCAACAACTGAGGTGATGTGAGTTCCATCGCTTTGGTCCAACGAGGCCGACGATGGATGACGTGAGGCCGATACTTCCGGTTGCCACCCTTCCGCGGAAAGCTCGCGATGACACAATGCACTGGCAGCTGCCTGAAGATTTCGGTTGCAGCTTCAAGACCCAGCTCCTCAAAATGGGCTTCAGGCAGCAATGCATGCTTGCTTTTGCTAGCTACAGGACAGTCACCCGCCAGCATGATATCGGTCGTGGCATACGCAGTCAAAAAGTGAACAGGAGCTGGTGGTAGCATATCTGCCGTTTGAAGCAAAGTCGGCATGAGGCACATTGGTGCACATGCTGTGCAAGTACAGTCGAAGCCAGCGAGCCTGCCGCAGCACTAGGACTTCTCTACTGCTGGGGCAGGGCAAGAGAATCTTTGCCTGATGCGTGTGATTGCATTATTTTCTGTGCCCTCGTGTAGTGTTATCTGTTTGCCGAGACTTTGCAACATGCGCCTAGGGCACTGACAGGTCTGCTTGTAAGCCGCTACCGGACACAAGTGACGTGGCGACCGTACCAAGTCGACTTCGCTGACTTTGAAGAAGGACGCAATTCACGTGCCAAGCATGAGAGCTGCTTGTAAAGAGTGGGCTGATGTTGGATGTCTTGGCTGGGATGCCCATTGTGGCCATAGTGGCTCAGATGATTTGACTCACGAGCCCTGGCGGCGAGTCCGAGCCGCTCCAGAGGCCTCAGGCCTAGCGCCAATAGCCAAGGCCTAAGAGCCAGAGCCACCGTTGGAGACAGCCGTCATGTTCCGCGAGCCATCCGAGGTGAAATGCAAAGCCATCGGCGAAGTGCTCACGCAACATTTCTGTTCCACGAGATGGCTGAACCAGCATCGGAAACAGCGTTCCTCGAGGTTCCGCTTCTCAGCCCGAGTAGCAGCAACAGGTTCCAGCAGTACCGTGTCTGTGTCCTGCAGGCACAGGCAAGACCAGTCGGGCGTGCGGCCGCAGCACATGGACTTCCTGCAGAAGAGCAAGTTTCAGCAAGCTCTCACAGCCATGCCTCGGATTCGTGGGGCACGGAAGGCCACCAGCTCCGTTTGGAGGAGTCTTCCTTGGCTGATCTGGCAGCGAGTTTGAAGTACATACCCGGTGTGGCAGTTACGGGTGGTGCTGCAAGCATGGTGAACGTAGTGTTTGGAGTCTCGGTCATCGGGCTCCTAGCTTTTCAGGCAACCCGCTCCACAATGGCGAAGTGCCTGCCTCCAAGAAAGCTGGAGCTCGTACCCTCGCCCTTGCTAGATCCCCCACCCGGAGACTGCGACGAGTCGACATAGTTCACGTCCGGATGAGTAGATTCCCACATTACTGTCACATTAGCCTTTGAGCGGCAAGACGTGGCTCACAGCAGGCACGCATGGGGAAGAGTGGCGAGACAGGAATTATCTGACGCGCACCGGAGTGCGGGAGTGTGAAAATGGGCTCGCTCTGTAGCACATGGGCTGAGGCAAGACTCGATCCTTTGCACGCTTTGCCAAGGTTGCCGGAGCAGACGAGATGTCCAGCTTTGCCTGCAGGACCCGAAGTTTGCTGAAGTATGCCTTCCTTGTGTCTTCTGCATGCTTTTGCGACGAACTGCGACCTACACGGTCTGTGACCTGGTCCCGGCCCAAAGCTACTGGTAGATCGTACCAGCGGCTTGTACAGCATCTCCAGGCCTGGTGAGCTCTCTCTGAGATGCCTCAACTTCCCTACCTGTGAGTCTGTGAGGGGGCAGCTGTTCACTCGTTGCTTAAAGGCACATGGCGGCAGCATGCCGTGCCATTGGCCAGGCATGCCAGCCAGTGCCGACCCTAGCACTTGTCATGGTCGTTCGTTTTGCAGGTTCGGGTTTCAAGAGTCTTATGGGCACAGGGTTCCCGGTGGTGACCATCAGTAGTGATGCTAGTGATTCAACAAGGAGACATCTGGGGGCTGATTGGAGCCGAGGTGGCTGCCGCGACCTCCGTCGTACGAAGTGCCCGCGGTCCCAAGCTGCCAACGCGATGTGGAAACGTTACCGCGGATGTGGACATGCACGGACCTCGGGGCAAGCTCGGTTACTGTAAGCAGAAGAGTTATGCAGCTTTGGGTTCTGCCGGAGTCGAGGCTTACTGGAGGTGCCTGGGTTTGCTTTCCAACTGCTTGATTGACACAGGATCCATTCGCCTCCTCAGAAATGAGAGGTGTGGAACTCCAGTGTATAAGCATCACAGGTTAGGATCCGAATGCCTGTGGTGCTTCTTGCCCACACCCGGCCCCATCTTCACACCCTGTTTCTACGACTATCTACGACTCAACCTGCTGTCAATAGCTATGTGTCGCAGCCCTGAGGGGCCAGATCATTCGATGGTCCTGCAATAGAGTATGGCGAGTCTCTCAGGCCTCAGCCAATGCTTGATTCCTGGATGCTGGAGCCGCAATGCACGATGTTCCGCTGCCTGGTTGGACATCTCCTTTGCACATTTACCGGGCTCGCCTCCCGAAGGAAGCGCAGGTGTGGAACAGGCCTTGTGTCCTTGCGTGAAGACGAGGTCAGTACCCTGGCTTGGCGATGCTTTCTGACTGTGCAGCTACACCTGCGCCGGTGGAGCAGGTGGGGGTAGGTGACGGGAGATGCGATAAAGATGCGGCCTTTTGCTGACAGAAGGCTACTCCTGAGATGCCACGAGGCACGGGAACCCTGTGAGGCTGCCGCAGCGGAGGCATTGGACGCCCCAGCCGTGCAAGAGGCCTCCGAAAGGCCGGAGCCTGCAGAAGGCCTGGCCCATCTATAGGCCGGCAGGAACACGATCAGGCCAGCCCCCTTTGATGCTGAAGGTTTACAGGACGAAGCTCAGGGCGACCCGTCAAAGCAGGAGAGGCGTGGTATGGTGCGGCGATGCCTTAAGTTGCCAAAAACTGGCTGCAACTGGTTGCAAGGCGGAAAGCCCGCGAGCGCCGGGCTCCAGTCACAGCGGTGACCCGGTGCATTTGGCTCAGATCGCTTTCCGAGTTTCAGAAACTCGCGACTGGAGGCTGCAATGGTGATGAGGGATTATGAAATGCGCTTGCGAAGCCTGGAAGTTCAGTGTGGAGCACTTGATTCGTTTCCGTGTCATGTCTGCTACACTAGTTATTAGGTTTTCCAGCCATTTCTCACTTCAGGCCGCGAGCTCAGCTCTCAGAATGCGCGACTGTCCTCGGAATCTTGGCCAAGAATCGGCATGTGACACCTCCTTCGTGTAATTCTACCTGAGCGATGCTTTTGCATCAGGAACTCACGGCCGGAGAACTGAAACAGCAGCAAGGCCTGATGATTGCATAGCCGGTTTGGACTGCTTGCACGGCCGCACGATTGAGGGGCTGTTTGCGGTCTTCGATTCTTGATTCATGGTTTTCTTGTTGAAGGCACGTGACTTTAAATGCAGGCGTGGCCTTAGGACATCTTAGGACGATTGTTGTTCTCTTTGTGGGTTTGGTCTATTTGCCACGCAGTTCGATGAGTTACCCAGTTACCCTGCCTCAAGTTCTTGCAGCCTGCTGATGCTGCTATTTGCAGAAAGAGTCTTACAAGGAGGAGCTAGTTGCATCTAGTTGCGGTTTCTATTGATGGGGGCCGTGGCACTTTTTTGGGCTCGAATCCTCGGGGTTGAGATCCCTGGAGGCCTATGAAAAAGAGAGCCCTTGAAGCCATTTTGCATTGGCTTGTTCTTAGTTGTCTTTACATGTATTTATTCGCCGGTGTTGCCTTTGTTAAACAGTATGCATCTTTGATAGTTTGTTTCCTGGTTCTTCGTTGGTTTTACCGCATCGAAATTGATGGACAGTACCGTTCACAGGGCAGAGCAGACGACAGTGTTTGTCTATCTTTGGGTTTCAAACTAGTTTCTATGTTCTTCATGTCCTAATGTACGTTGTATGTCTAAATGTGCCTTGCCATGATTTTTGTGTCTGTCTGTTTGTCTTTCGTCGGGGCCTGAACAAACACAAGTCGCAGCCCCAGCCCGCGATCCTAATCGGCCCACGCCCAGCCCCAACCCAAACCGCATCCTCAGCCCAAACCCGAAACCCCTTAAGCTGGCAATCTTCGGCGTCTAGATCCTCAGGGTCGAGATCCTCGTTGACCCCGCTCAGAGGCTTCTAGGAATGCATCCTTCGCGCGCGATTGTTTGTCAAACTCGGGTCGGTGAAATCATATTAAATTCTATTATGTCCTGTGTACAATTCAAAAAGACATGGACATCGCCCCACGACTCTTATTGAATCTTCTTATTGTCTCCCAAGACCGTAATGCAATTGCCACCTTACGAACTCTTGTTGAGTCTTGTCAAATCCTGTTAAAATAAGACTCTTCGACGACTGCTTTTGGTTTTTGGCAAAGTGCCCGATGGAGCGCAGCCAAGTGCAACGGTGAAGATGCTTGCTAAAATAGCAATCATTCATCACCGTTTCACGCAAGCCGGAGCCCTCTGCTCGAGGGCTTTCCCTCAAAGTTTGGGGGATCATTTTGTTGTTTTTTGATCGCATTCGAGGTTTTTTGTTTTGGCCTGTTGTGTTTGTATTGCATTTGTCCTTTTCTTCGATTTGTCTTTGTTTCATCTCTAATCTAATTGTCTTTGTTTGTTTTTATTTGTCTTTGTGTGTCTTTTGTTCGTCTTCATGTGTCTTTATATATACTGCAGCAGTCTTATAAATACGTCGTCCTAGCCGTCCTAGCCAGGCGGGAGGCAAAACAAACTATATACGACCTCAAACAATCTAAATCACGAGGGTCTCAGACTGCAAGGTCGATCAATGAATTATTTCGTGGTTCTCAACTCGGCCATCTTCATGAGTTGGATAGTTCGAGTATGATTCTATGGGGGCCCTACTACTGCGACGACGACGACGACTACTACTGCCACGACTACTAACTGCTTGACCTTCATGAATATTGTTATTATTATTATTGTTGTTATTATCATGATTATTACCACGACCACTACCACTACCACTACCACCACTACTACTACTACTACTACTACTACTACGACTACTACGACTACTACGACGACTACTACTACCACTACTACTACTACTACTACTACTACTACTGCTACTGCTACTGCTACTGCTACTGCTACTGCTACTGCTACTACCACTACTACGACTACTACTACTGCTTACAATGACGA